GCTGTTCAATCAGTTGTGTTTTTGAAACGCAGGAATATTCACACGAGACATCTAGCGGGACGATAAGTGAAACTTATTTTCAAGGTCTGTCCCTCTCTTGTCCTTCACCTCCATCGGCACCATCTCTCCGTCACTTTACAGTTTTTGTTTTAGAAGTGCAGATTAAGCACAGAGGTTTCTGTTGGTCTAGTTTCCAGGGGACAGGAGGTCCAGGATATAGCCTAACCCCGTCACTGGAAGAATGTGATAAAACTTATGTTATGCTTGTGGCGTGACGGGCGGTCAGATGTCCAGTGACGTGTTGTGTTGCAGCATCTCTTCAGGCAGGAGGAAACACATTTAATAAGAGTCAACCTTTACTTTTTAAATGTGCACTTTGGATGATTAGAAGCTTTAGTCTTCTTTTCTCGTGTGCAGCAGCTTTATGAGACAGTAACTGCTGCCGCAGCAGGCTTTCATTGGAGTGTCCGTACTCCCATGAAGTCTCCTTCACTGCTGGAAGTTTCTTGTCTCCTTTAAGGAAACCTGAAAGTGTCAGTGAGGAGCTTTCACAGCTTGTCCTCCTGATTTTTATAAACATGTTTAATGCACCTTGTTCAGCCTCCAGGTGTGTGTGTGTGTGTGTGTGTGTGTATGTTCACTGGTTATATAAAAATGTCACCGTATCCGTACTGACACTCTCTGTCTGTCTGTCCGTCCATCAGCGCCCATCGCAGCCGGCACCGGGCCAAACTTCTCGCTGGCCGACCTCGACAGCTCCTCCTACTACAGCATGAGCCCAGGAGCCATGAGGAGACCACTGCCCAGTACCTCCTCCTCCAGGTACACACCAGCACACTCAGCACCTCCTCCTGTTGTTCATGTGACAATTTATCAGTTTTAATGACTGCAGTCAATCAATCGATTGACTAAGGTCAAAGTGTTTCTCAAAGAGGGAAACATGCGCGTCATAGAAAACTCTAAACAATGATCCAATAAGTGCTTTTGTAAAATAGAAGAAGTAGAAAACTGATTCTATAATATTTCATGGAGCACCTGTAATAAAATAAATGGGACGCAGAGTCTGTGCAGTGACTCGCAGCACCTGCGCCCTGTTTAAATAACCTTTGTTGAGCTGTCAGCGGACAGAACGGTGAGGCGTCAGTGCTGAGTGTGAGCGCCACCTAGTGGCCCGTGGACTGACCTTTCAGCGATGCTGGAGAAGTCGCTTCATCATTGGCCGATGTTCCCAAACCAGAACTCGAGATGGCTTCATTTAGTTTTTTACTTCCAAACATTCAAATCCAGATGGTTTATGTTCCAGCCATACAGTGCTCAGAGGACACACAAACAACAAAGAGTTGGTTGGATTTGTGAAATGAAATGACTGCAATGGACAGATGCAAGGATGACGACGGTCACACCCTCGTGCAGTGCACTGGATGGATGCTGTATCACAGACACGATAGGACAGCTGTCAGTATTTCACTAACTCACCTGCAGGGTGTGTAGAGTGTAGAGGCTACGGCAGCTTTGGTCTGTGCATGAACACTAACTGTTTGTTCCTAATGTGGCTTAATGTATGTCTGAAGGTGTGTATATACACACACACACACACACACACACACACACACACACACACACACACACACACACACACACACAAGGAGGACGTGATTGGTTCTGATCTGACCCCAACAGCCCTTAGAACACATGTGGTCAAAGTCAAGGCCCCGCGGCCATCCGGCGCGACATTTATATCCGGCCCGCAGATCATTTTATATAGATTATTATTATTGTTATGCATGGCCCGGCGATATGAGGCGCTAATAATATACAAACTACAGATCCCATAATGCAGCGCTGCAGCCTCCTTGCTGAACGCTAGGCTAACTGGGAACATTCCCGCGTCAATCAAGTCAAACTTCTGTTATTGAAGCTAGCCGCTCACAATGGTGGAGAGAAAAGTTGATTCTGAAAGCAGAGCCTTTCAGCGCCAGTGGGTGACTGAATATATGTTTACAGACATTGCTGTAAACCCGTGTGTCTTATTAGTGGCTAATGTGGCTGTAATTAAGGAATTTAATTTAAGACGGCACTACGAGACAAAACATCAGGATAAGCTGAAAAACCTAAATGCAGAGAGAAACTACAGAAAGTAGAAGAGCTAAAGAGAATCTGACATTTCAGCAGACTTTTTTCACCAGAGCAAAATCACAAAGTGAAGCTGTTGTGAAAGCAAGTTTTATTGTAGCAAATCAGCCCAGTACCACTGTAAGAGCTGCATGATGAAGGTGTGCGACGTCTTGTGTCCAGACAAAACGCAGATTTTGGCAAATGTGAGCCTGAGGAGAAATACGATTGCTGATCGGGTTTGTGAGATGGCCACTGATTTAAGAACACAGTTGTGTGAAAGAAGCAAAAACTTTATTGCATACTCTCTTGCTGTGGATGAAAGTAAGACATGATGGACATTGCACAGCTGGCCATCTTCATCCGTGGAGAGGAAATATTGAACATTAAATCGATGCACGGGACAACGACAGGAAAAGACATTTTTTAAAACGTATGTCAAAGTGTAACAAACTTGTTGGACTTACAACAGATGGAGCGCCGGTGTTGTGCGGTGAAAAAAGCGGACTAGTCAGCAGGATGCGAGTAAAGATGCAGGAGGAGAACTGTACCGGTGAGTTAACAGCATATCACTGCATCACACACCAGGAAAGGCTGTGTGGTAAAGTCCTAAAAATGGAGCATGTAATGATCACCGTAACGCAAACCGTAAATTTTATCTGAGCTAAAAGTTTAAATCACCGTCAATTTCAGTCTTTTATGTGGGAAATAGATTCAGAGTTTGCCGACATTCCTTATCATACAGAGGTCCGTTGGCTGAGTTGGGGAAAAGTTCTCAATAGAGTTTTTGAGCTCAGCAAGGAAATCTGTCAGTTCATGGACATGGCATGTATGATGCGGTGAAGGCATTTCAAGTGAAGCTGTCACAAATGCACCAGTGCAACTTGCCTCACTTTCCCTGTTGCCAAGTAATGTTGAACCAAATCAGCGCACTTTGCTGAACTGCACCTGTGCAGATTCAGATGGAGCTGCAGTGTAATGATACACTCAAGGCAAAGGACGACACTGAATGCCGCACAGTTTATTAGTTTCACTCCTGAAGCAATGCTCCATCTACATGCGGCTCCAACCTTGTGTTTGCTTTCATTTATTTTTTCTGGGGTTTTGGCAGCATGTTCATATTTCTAACTTGCATAATTTTGACAGGATATATTTTTATGAAGAGCAAAATATTTAAAGTTAAAGTTTATTTTTTTAAGTTTATTTAATCTGGAATAATATTCCTGTCTGTTTTTATTCATATTTATGTTTAAAAAACATTGTTTTAGTGTGTTCAATAAATGTTTATCTTGTTTGGCCCGCGACCTAAAGTGTGCCTTGAGTTTTGGCCCCCTGTGCAATTGAGTTTGACACCCCTGCCTTAGAAGGTACTCACAACTCACTGATATCCTCACAGTGATGGTTTAAACTCAAATGATTATACAAACACTCTCTCTCTCTCTCTCTCTCTCTCTCACTCACACACACACACACACTCTCTCACACACATATGCTTGCAGGGTTTGCCCTGACCTCTTCTCTTAAATCGATGCGGTCGCAAAAGTCGTCTGTCTGCTGAAATACCTGCCCTGCAGCGCACACGCACGCACGCACGCACACACACAGACAGTTAGCTGAGTGTGTGTGTGTGTCCTCTGTCTTCTACACCCTCTCCCCCTCTCTCCTCTCTGACTCCAAACACATCTCCAGAGACCTCCCACACACACACATTACCACACACACACACACGCACACACACACACACACACACACACACACAGAGATCGCTGTGAGGCAGTGAAGCAGATCCATATGGAAATATTTAAGTCTTTACTAATGTCAAAGACCCTCCATTCATACAAACACATCTCAGTGTACAGGCAGGTCACACACACACACACACACACACACTGTTAATGTTTTAACTTCCTGTTAAACAAACAGATCTGGCCAGTGAGGTGTAAACCTGCTGTCTGTGAGTCGTTGCTCTCATTTCTTAGGCTTAAACCTTAAAGTAAAGCAAACAGAAAATGTGTGAAATGCATAAATAACTGCACAAGTACACAAAGACTACAGCTGGGTTTGGAGGGTAAAGGAGGACATGTAAATTTATGTCTTACAGAAAGGTATGAATTCAGACTTTGTCCTTCCTTTTCTTCGTGTCAGGGATGCTCTGGTTTATCCAGTGTGAGCATCCATCAGATGCTGCTGTAAGTCGATGCCTGAGAGTCATTTAGTCCACGGGACGTGTACGGTTTGATCTCATGTCAACCCTCCTCACTGCTCTTTTCTTTTTACCATAAAACGCCACATTGTCAAAGTTCACATGGAGTCAGCCAATCAGTGATGTCAACAAATGAGCACTGGACTCCAGTGAAAGCAAAAATGGCCTCCATGGAAAAGTTCAAGGAAAACACCACTGCTAGCCAAGAAGATCACAAAAGCAAACTGCAAACAAACATCTGGATGATCCCCGAGACTTCTGGGAAATCTTCTGTAGACTGACAAGACAGAAGCTGAACTTTGTGGAAGGTTTCAGTCCCATTACATCTGCATCAAACTAACAGCTTTGTTCCCTTAATGAATGAAATCATCATTTAAAACCTGCACTCTGCATTTACTCAGGTTCTCTTTATTTGATGATCTGAAACATGTGAGTGTGACCAATATGTGGGGAAAAAAAGAAATAAGGGAGGGGCAGGTAGGTGAGATTGAACAGTTGGATGTGTGGGAGGGAGCCTGATGTGCTGGTCTCGGGTTTGGGTGGGACTTCAAACAGCTGATAGCAGGAATCAGAGGGGTCTGTGTGGGTGTTTAGGACTCCACCTGTTCTCCGTTTGAGCTCTGAGCTGGAGAACAGCGGGGTTAATAATGGGAGGAGTCACCAATGCTGCTCTGTCTCTCTGCAGCTCTGCCAAGAGGATAAAGTGCATGGAGGAGGACGTGGACAGCCCGGGGGAGGAGTCCTACTACCCAAGCCAGGGTCGGTCTCCAGGCAGCGGCAGCCAGGCCAGCAGCTGGCACGACGTGGAGCCAGGTACGTAACCACACCCCCAACGAAACCCCAGCCGCCTCCTCTAATAACAGCCCCGCCATCTTAATACCCCACCTGACCCCGGCCCTAACACTCCCCCCACCTCCACCATGCAGACTCTCGTCATCACACATCCCAGAGCTAACCTGCCGCTCCAACGCAGCCCAGCGGAGCGATGCTACCATGGTGCAGTGTGCAGGTGGTGCTTCCAGCAGGGG